GATTTTAGTTGTTGCTGCAGTTGGATGCACTCAAGTGATGTGGTTTCTATTATTTGGTACTGTTCTTTGTGATTGTGTAGCGCCAGCTATCTTTAACCATTGATCCGAGAAAGCGGTTCAGTTTAGATATATATGATCATGTTTGGCGCTATGCATGCTATCCATATGAAAGTCTTAATCATGGCGACTTTTTAGGCCAATGTTTTGGTTTTGTAACAATTTGCGGTATTGGGAGAAACTGCCTCTAGCATAGTCTATTCTATATTCAATTTACTTATAAAGAAACGGCTAATATTACCATTAGCATTAAATATGAGAAGCGAAGAAAAGTGTAACATGTGCAGCACTGGCTCATTGCTCAATGAATGCTGAATGTTTCCTTATAAGGAAACGGTTAATATGATCATCACCCTTAAAGATGTGGAAAACTGATTCTACACTTTGATCCCAGCTTGATCGAATCAAAGTGTCTGATCAAAGTGTCTGATCAAATGGCTGATATTTTAGCTTTAAGGATATCACAAGTACCATTTATAAAGGGTGTTCCATTAAAACGGATCAAAGTCAGCAGTAAATAAATCAGTGTTGTTATTGAAAATTTATTTATTTCTCTATTGGATCATGTTATTTACGTCATGTTAATTATGTGTGAAAAATAATATCGCCCAAATGTCCGCCATGGCTTCGGCGGCACACCTCCAAAATTTTTGATGACGTCTCCGCATAGTTCCTCCTCGATCTCACCAATATGCCTTATTATCTCATTCTTCAGCTGTTGAATTGTTGTTGGCATAGACTTTACTTTTGAAATGACCCCAAAGGAAGAAATCTAACGTCGTCAAGTTGCACGATCGTGGTGGCCAATTGATTTCGCTGTTTCGAGAGATGATGCGACCTGGGAACTTCTCATTCAAATTCTGTTTGAACGTCCTTTTTCGTAATAGGCTTCAATAACTTTAACACGTTGTTTGATTGTTAATCTTTTCATGGCTTAAATTACCAAAGACTTCCATGGCTTAAATTACCAAAGACAAAGTTGTTAAATCTCAAAGAAAAAAAATCATAAAACGCTTAAACTTAATTCACATTTAAAATCAGTCCTAGTTATTGGAACACGATTTATATATATATATATATATATATATATATATATATATATATATTATAAATTAATTGATTTAAAATATGTTTTTTTCGCTACACAGTTCCAACCATGTTTCAAAAATGTCTTTCTTTTTATTTATATATATATATATATATATATATATATATATATATCTTTCAATATTGATAGGATTTTCTTTTCCGTTTTCGAAACAAACATACAACAATCAAATCATTATTTTCACGGTGAGTGTGGATGCTGACCTCACACTGTTAGTAATCTTTTCATTTCTATTCCAATGTTGATATGACTTCCTTTCTCACTTTTGTAACAAACATGCAAAAATTGGATGATTATTATCAGTGTGAGAGTGGACGCAGACCCCAAAGTAACTATTAGTAATCTTTTCATATAGTAATTTCTTTTCATCTTTCAATGTTGATAGGACATTCTTTTCGTTTTCCTTTATTATTTTTTTTTCAATCTTTTCATTTCTATTCTTTGATAGAACTTTACATAAAGTGGTATAAAATATGGATCATTTTTCAAGGTGAGCGCCCTTTTGTTAGTAAAAACAGTGAAAAATCGGATGTCATTATTATCAGAAATATAAATTGGACCAGTGGATATGTTCGGAAACTGTGTGTCTTTAAGTTTTCCGATCAAAATCACACTAAGATATGTGTATGTGTGTGTGTGTTTACATGTGTGCATATTTGTGTCTGTGTGTGCGTACGTTTGCGTGTGGGGAGGTTGGGTTACAGTAACTTACCTCAAAATATAAATCAGATTTTTATAATACAGATGTCAATGTTTTGGCATGTATTTGTAGACATCTGAAATATTAATTCGTTTTAAAAGCAGCTTTGTCATTTTCCTTCCTTTGACACTAATTCTTAAATCAGTCTTAAGTGTCTGATTGGCATATTGCCAAATCACGTCGAACCTGTTCACAACGAAGATGTTTGATTATTTACGAGCGGAAAAGGACAACTCAACACCACCGACTCGGCGCCAGAAAAACATAACTTTTTTTTTATAGCCGAATAAAAGTAAATTATTAAGGGTTAAAAATATTAATTAGAGAATATTTGAAAAGGCATTATGTAAAATATGAACCAGTTTTTTTGTTTTTAATTATTTTTAATAAATCGTAAAGAAATTTATTTTTTTTAATAAAGTTGATATATATAAAATAATTCAATAAGACACACTTGTTTTTAATTATTTCTTAATAAGGTAAATCGAAATTCTTTTTTTTATATGTCAATTTACGCCATTAAAAAATATTAGGTTGGTGCAAAAATAATTTTTTGACGTTAAGTTGAACGTCAAAAAACGACATTATTTTTGCACCAACCTAATAAATTTCTTTACGTTTTACTTTCTTAAAAACTAGTAGGTTTCGTCCGCTCGCTATCTGGTAATTAGTTGATTTCCTATGGGATTAATGTTCACTATTGATGAAATATTGAAGGAGTTGTGGACATGAAATATATTTGTTCAAAGAATATAACTAAAGACAGAAGAAATTAATTGGTCGGGCGTGGGGACAGTCTTGTTATAGTTAAGGGAAGTTTAACAAATAGATGCCAACTCCAAAGAACAGAGTCGCAACTGAGGAAAATTATACTGAGAGGTGCCCAGCCTTGGTGAACAGCTGCCCGAGGCCGTGCCCTCCCATTGCACTTGAGAGAGGAATCGGTGCTCGTACCGAAGCAAGCCCTACCGACGGTTACGGGAAGTCGGGGAATTTTTGTTCTTGGCCCGGGTGTACGCGCTCGGGCTCCCCACATTAACCCGGAGTGTGTCACAACCTGACCTCGTGGAGGGTTGAGTAAATACAAATTACTTTAAAGTAGGGTTGGGATCTTTTAACCTCAGAATTCGTAGGAGAAGTGAGCTTTAATTTCGCATTTATTTATATAGATAATTAAAAACCAAAAAAACTGGTTGATATTTTACATAATGCCTTTTCAAATGACTTATTTGAAGAAAAATATTCATTTAATCCTTAAAAAATTACTTTTATTCTGTTATAAAAAAAATCTGTTTCTTCTCTTGCTGAGTTGTTTTAGGCATGAGTTTTTCCGGCGCTCAGTCGGCGGTGCTGAGCTGTCCTACACCGATTTACGAGCATCAGATAGTGTAAGCGGACTGTAGTCGTGTTTCTAAGCTTCAGTTTCTTAATATTACAAAAGATGAATTCTTCCTCAGCCTGCGGCAGAATGCTCAACGCACACGACCGAAGAATTTCAGTCGGAGCTTTTTTTATGACCCGATGCATTCTCACGATGGGCAATGCCTTACTGGAAAATATATAATTTTATCAATTCACTGACTCAAGACGTGCCAAGTACGATTATAGCAACCAGTCTGTTCTGCTATTTAACCCATAAGCGAGAGAGAAGAGGTGGATTCGTACTTTTTCTAAGGCTATTTGGTGTCCTGCTGTTTAGCCCATATCCGGAGGGAAAGAGCTCGATTCGCACTTTTCCTAAGGGTATTTACTCTCCTGCTATTTAAACCTAGCCGGGAGAGAAGAGGTTGTTTCGCACCTTTACTATGGGTATTCAGTGCCCTGCTATTTAACCCATAGTCGGGGGAGAAGAGCTGGATCCGCACTTTTCCTAAAGGTTTTCGCTGTCCTACTATTTAACCCATATCCGGAGGAGAATAGATGGATTCGCAATTCGTAAGGGTATTTGCTGTCCTGGTATTTAAGCCTTAGCCTGGGGAGAACTGATGGTTTCGCACTTTTACTATGGGTATTCACTGCCTTGCTATTTAATCCATAGCCGGGGAGAAGAGTTGGATCTGCACTTTTCCTAAAGGTTTTAACTGTTCTACTATTTAAGCCATAACCGGGAGAGAATAAATGGATTCGCAATTTTTCTAAGGTTATTCGCTGTTCTGCTATTTAACCCATACCTGGAGGAGAATAGATGGATTCGCAATTTTCCTAAGGGTATTTGCCCGTAAGCAAATGCAATGAACTCGACTGAAATTTGAACTCAGTTCTGTCGAGTTCTTATCACGAGATACAATCTATTACACAACCCGCACGTTTCTGGCTATTTGAAATTTGAATTTGACATTAAAGAAAATAATATTATTAAGCATATAATTATTTTTTTTTCGTAAAATATTATTTTGTTCCTCTTTTCCGATGGATCTTCTTTCTTTTATTCAACATTAAAGTTTTTTTTTTTTTTTTTTGCCTTTTAAACCAGTGGGTAATCCCACACGATAAATTAAGCAAGAACGCAGACGACACAGACCACAAGGAAAATAATTTCCTACTATTTCACAACGATACTGTTCATTGCAAAAGAATGACAACAGGATGTCTAATGTAGGTGTGTATGAATGAGCTGCAATTTCAAGCAGATCCCATTCAGCGTCACTTATTATAAAAGGAGCAGACATCGCCGAACGAGTATAGATGACAAAGAGGCTGTGAACAGATACCAGGCCTAAAGAACGTGTCTGTCAACCAGAAACAGACGAGAAAATTCACTTATTTATTTGATCTATTTATTCACGAAATATCTATTTATTTACATACAATTCATTCATTAATTTAGATATTTAAACAAAGTGCCCAACACAGGGTAAATCGTATATATACAAATATAGCACGCACGGATACGGCAGTCTAGAAATAGATTAATCTTCTGCCCAGACTTTGTTTAATCTTTATTCATACCTTTCGATCTCATTTCAGCGTATCGATAGTGTTTGCTTTAAAGTCGTATTTAACAACAGCGACAACATAAAAAGAGGGACGATTCTTTATAAGGAAATATTTAGCCGCAAGAATTTTTTTTTTAAAAAAAGAAAATAAGAAAAAAAGAAACCCCCTCGTTTGCAACTCGCCAAAGAAAAGAAAAAAATGGAAGCAAGACGTTTGGCATTCCTCGTTATCATGGCGACGCTGTTTGCTGCCTGTTCCGCTGGCGACAAAGCAACGGTAAGTGGAAGTTTTTCTTTACATCTAACAGTACACTTCTCAAGAAATCAGATCAATCCTCACTGGGGATCAATGCATTAACGGCACAACAGTAAAAATATAGTTCCTCAGCATCACTCTCACTTTTTAGTATTTTAGTTTGGTTTGATTTGATTTGGTTTACGGCAAATCAACCTCAATGGATCATTTAATGCAGACATTTTTTTTTCCTGATAATATTTTTGTTTTATCAAAAATCTATTTCTGGAAATATTTTTTTCCTCAAAATTGTATAGCTGGTAATATTATTTTCAAAAACGTATTGCTGGTAATAGTTTAAAAAAAAATAACGTACTGCCGATATTTTTTTTTAAATGCTGGTAATAGTTTTTTAAAAGTATTTCTGGCATTAAAACCTATTTTTACACTTTTATAATGCTTTTTACCTCAGTTTCGGGGTTAACTATTTGCCCATAGCTGAGACCCTAACAGGTGCTACCACCCCGGGTCAGGGTGGACCTGAGAACACCAGCAATTAAGAGGTGATTCCACGCTTTTCAAAACCTCCTGATCAGAGGTTTTGCTATTGGACGTAGTTTACCGGCTTACCTAGGACGCGGATGTAGTTTATCGTCATACCCAGGACGCGGATGTAGTTTATCGTCATACACAGGACGCGTAGTATTTTAGTGTTAGCATCGTAGTTAAATGTATGGTGTACTGAGCGTTGATGATAAAACGTTTCCCTTCCGTCCGAACGCGATCGTGGCTCTCCATATCTTCCTTTACTTTAATATCTGTAAACTGACCATGAACTGATTATTGTCATAAGCGTCCTTGGGAAAGATAGGGCAGTAGTTTTTCGTTAGCTTTTCCACGGTTTTGAAAAAGTTTTTCTCATAAACTGGTAGCCAACAAAGACTAAACAAATTCTTCTTCTTTACAATTAACCCCTAAGTATATATATATATATATATATATATATATATATATATATATATATATAATTATTTATTTAAAAATATGATTCCAACACGCTACATAAGAGTTCTCATGTTTCAAAACAAGAGCCGAAAACTTCAATATAATTATTTGAATTAAATTGAATTAAAGTAAGCTCTGTTCCATCATCAAGCGAATTTTTTTTTTTTTTTTGAATAACTTATTTCTGAAATTTACGTGTTTTAATAGCATATTCATTATTGAAATCAAAATGTCTATGTTAACGGCTAGAGCAATTGTTTAAATAAACAGAGGTGTAGGGTGTCAATTGTTTATTTAAATATTTATTGAATAAATTTACCCATTAGTATTTCACGATATTTTTGTGTAAATTTGGTAAATATGTCGGTTAAATGTCAGTGTTATTTTCCTTTCTGCGTAATTTAGACGATAATTTATCCATCGCACCATATATATATATATATATATATATATATATATATATATATATATATGTAAGAGTGAGTTGGGATATTTGCGTATTTAGTATTTAATTTAAGGCTTCAAGTTTCAAGAAAAAGCTGGGGACGAGTCAAAACGTAATGCAGATTTTATATAAGGGCGAGTCAAAATTAATGTAAGTATATATATATATAATATAAACAAAATTTACATTAATTTTGACTCGCCTTTACATATATATATATATATATATATATATATATAATTTGTGTATATAGGCAGCAATCCTTCTTTCATACACATTTCATTGAATACGACAAACAAGGTGCATTTTTATGAAATATTTTAACTGTAAAATAAGAAATAGTTTCTTGCATGTATGTATTTATATAATGTTTTCATTTGTCAAAACACGGTCAAGATATTGTGTCCATGTTCATAGTTGATATTATTAGTCGTATTTTTTTATTTCTTATTTAACAGCTAAAATATTTCATCCTTGAAAATGGGTAAATGTATAGCCGAAAGCGCTCGGATAAAAAGAACTTTAAGGCAGATTTTATATAATTTATCATCTGAAAAGAAAAAACATGAGATCGCATGAGAAATTGTATAAAAACTAAATAAAATCACCTTATCTGTCGTATTCAATGAAATGTGTATGAAAGAAAGATTGCTGCCTAAATACACAAATTTAATATATTATATATATATATATATATATATATATAAGGGCGAGTCAAAATTAATGTAAATTTTTTTTATTTTATTATTTATATATTTACATTAATTTTGACTTACCTTTATATATATATATATATATATATATATATATATATATATATATATATATATATATATATAAAAATTTACATTAATTTTTGACTCGCCTCCAGATTTAATACGAAAATATCCCAACATAGGCATTGACTAATGGTAACTTAGTAGGCTACCAAATTGCACTGATAAACAATATTATGAGAATTGAACTCACTTTCTGTAGCCTGTGAGATAAACCTACTAGATCTTTTTCCACGGATAGCGCTCAGACATTGTGGTGATTTTCTAAACGTAGTTTAGATATGTCACAAGGCCGAGCGTGTCAGGCACCTAGTGAGAAACCCACTATTCAGTCGTAATTAATATAGCGAGGCAAGCTTGTTAACCATTACACCGTGTCGAAGTGCCCCAGCGCCCAAATATCATGGATTTTATTTGAAATTAAACTTCAAATCTGATTACGTTCGTATCACGTTGAAACCCCGGTCCCGTACGATCACCGAAGTTAAGCAACGTCGAGCCTTGTCAGTACCTAGATGGGGGACCTCTTGGGACTACCAGGTGCTCAAATCGTGTATGTGCGGGTGGTGTAATGAATAACAATCGGACATCGGGAAACCGAGTTCCAGTTCGGTTCGTTATATTGACTTACGCATTAATACCTTTTGGGAAAGACGTGAAGCCAAAATTTCTCTCCCCAGCTATGGGTTAATTAATAGGTCGTGTATCAATAAATCATTATTAACAATGTTTGAAATATTTTCTGACGTGAAGCAATGCGCAAAAGGTTGATAATCCGTAAAAAATCAATCGATCAATAAAGTTTAAAGTTGATTTGATTATATTTATGATATTTGATTATATTTATGATATTAACTTATATTTCTTTTTTTTTTTTTGTTTCTTAATTTTGTCAGGACTTTCTCGAAAAGTACGGCTATTTGCAAAAAAGTCATGGATCGAATCGTGGGGAGGACCGAAAACCAGAAGTAATAAATGCAGCCATCAAGTAAGTGAATTTTATTGCCTCTTTTCCATACACAGTCACGGGAGTGTCGGTCAATATAAAAAAAAAAGATTTATTATAGATTGCTACTGTTCGATATAATGTATTTTAGGGAAAAGGAAGCGTGAATGATAAGAGAACAACGAAATGGACTAAGTCCGACAATTATTTCAATATATATATATATATATATATATATATATATGAGGACAATAGTCCGAATAATGCAAATAGTGTACATAATACTTCATCTCAGAAATATAGACAGATACTGAAGGGCCGAAACGTTGTAATAAATATGGTGACAAAGATGAGGACAATAGTCCGAATAATGTAAATAGTGTACATAATACCTCATCTCAGAAATATAGACAGATACTGAAAGGCCGAAATGTTGTAATAAATATGGTGACAAAGATGAGGACAATAGTCCGAATAATGTAAATAATGTACATAATACCTCATCTGAGAAATATAGACAGATACTGAAGGGCCGAAACGTTGTAATAAATATAGCAATAAAGATGAGGACAATAGTCCGAATAATGTAAATAGTGTATATAATACCTCATCTCAGAAATATAGACAGATACTGAAGGGCCGAAACGTTGTAATATATATGGCAACAAATATGAGGACAATAGTCCGAATAATGTAAATAGTGTACATAATACCTCATCTCAGATATATAGACTGACACTAAATAGCCGAAACATTGTAATAAATATGGCGACAAAGATAGGACCATAGTACGAATAATGTAAATAGTGTACATAATACCTCATCTCTGAAATATAGACTGATACTGAAAGGCCGAAACCTTGTAATAAATATGGCGACAAAGATGAGGACAATGGTCCGAATAATGTAAATAGTGTACATAATACCTCATCTCAGAAATATAGACAGATACTGAAGGGCCGAAACGTTGTAATAAATATGGCGACAAAGATGAGGACAATAGTACGAATAATGTAAATAGTGTACATAATACCTCATCTCAGAAATATAGACAGATACTGAAGGGCCGAAACGTTGTAATAAATATGGCGACAAAGATGAGGACAATAGTACGAATAATGTAAATAGTGTACATAATACCTCATCTCAGAAATATAGACAGATACTGAAGGGCCGAAACGTTGTAATAAATATGGCGACAAAGATGAGGACAATAGTACGAATAATGTAAATAGTGTACATAATACCTCATCTCAGAAATATAGACAGACAGATATTCTGTTGAAATATTGCTTAACATTGTCAAACACTGTTTTTTTTTCTTTTCTGTATCTTTTTTAAATCGCGCTCTTCTTTTAAGTTTGTTATAATAATAATTTTAATAATAATGATGACAACGATGTTATAAGTCCATTTTTCTCTCTGTTGCATTGACCCTTCAGAACATAATCCCGCGTCTGATGTAGAACACCCGCTCCCTTTAATTCCAACCTAGCCTTTTATTCCGAACGTAAGAGAAAGCGGTTGAGGCTCTCCACAGATTCCTTTTCTTTTTTGCAATATCTGTGAAATGTCATGATCTTTTGATGTGGAGTGGCTTCCCAATGCCTTTTCCCTTGACTGGTTGCCATTCAAGGCTAGAGAAGCCAGTCTACCCTGCTATTTAGTTCAGTTGAATTCAAAGAGTATTATTTAAAATAAATAAAACATGAATGAATCCGAAAGTAAAATAATATAAATAATAATTAGATGAAAAAAAAAAAAACAATTATGTCTTCAAAAGTCGCATGATACGCAAATATATATGGTATATATTTTTATATTTGAATTTATTTTTAAATAACCTGAAGAAGACAGACATTCAGTCGAAATATTGTTTAACATTCTGTTTTTTCTTTTCTTTATTTTTTCTTAAATCGCGCTTTTCTTTTAACTATTGAAAATATTTGAAGAGTTACGTCAATTATTTTGTTTGATAATAATAATAATAATAACAATAATAATAATAATAAAAATAATCTCTTCATTTTTTTCTCCTTCTGTCAGAAATTTTCAGGAATTTGCCGGATTAAAAGTGACTGGAGTCTTGGATGAAGAAACGCAGCAGAAAATGGAACAATCACGATGCGGAGTAAAAGACATCTTTAGTACCGAAACACCAGCCGGCATGCCCGCCAATCTCAAGCAAGGTAAGAAGCCAAAACGCGCTAGATTTGTATTCTTCAGATATGTGGAAAGTTGGCATATGGGTTTTTAATATTATCTCCAGTATGTAAGAACCATCATTGTGCAAATTCCAATATCTATATGAATAAATGCGAAATTGGTGCTCAATTCTCCAACGAATTCTGAAGTAAAAAGGCCACAACTCTACTTTATAGTAAATTACACAATAGGCGTTCAACATCTGTATTTTTATATAATCTACTTATAGACGATATAACTTTTCAGGTTTAACTAATTTGCATATTCATTTTAAAAAAAGTATATTCCATTAATTAATTGTTCTTCATTACAGTTCTTTTATTCGAGGATTGTTTTGATTTTCATATCAAAAATAGTTCTGTTTAGGAATATCGTCTTATATAATGCATAAAAGTGTTTGAAATTTGCATTTTACTTGGCCTTCAACAAGTTGGCATCTATTTGTAAAACTTTCCTTAACTATAACAAGCCAAGTTATGAATGAAATGTTCAATTAAAATTAATTATTTCAAAGATTTCAAGATATCTTATTAGCGAAGCGATAGCGAGCGAACGAAGACTACTAGTTAATAATAATAATCTGTCAATTGATGAATAGTACATAGCTAAAAACGGAAACAGGGGCATTTATAATGGCTCCACTTGTCTAAAGCCTATTTACCAGGAATTACCAGGTAGACACAATAAAGAACGAAGTACACCCAATATTTATATTATGTGAACATGTTGAAAATATTGACCCAGTTGTCCAATCCTAACACCGAAGGAATACAAAGATTGACATGTTAAGGTTGGTCAGCATATTCATAGGGAAACATGTCAATATTACAGTGCTCTACTTGCTGAAAAGAATCTTTCTTATCAAAACACGTAAACAATGTCCTCTTGAACGGCCACTCTTCTAGATCATTTCACATTCATGTAGCTGTCTTTTTTCTCAACTACCTACCCGGTGTCGTCAGCTGTTTTCTCAAATCAATGGTGAAGACTACACTTTTTAGAACATTGAGGACTGGGGCAACATAATCACAAAGAACTGTACCTTTCAATATCTCTGAGATGAGATATTATGATTACTTGCATTACTCAAGGACACATGGCCCATTGGATAAAACCGTTGGTTAGATCCAGTGACTAGACCCAAAGAGTTGTGAGTTCAATACCAGGCCACAGTAGCGGTGAACCAACAGTTGGAGAGTTGAGTTAAAGTGAAATAGCTGAGACATCCGGAAGAGGCATAGCACGTGGATCTAGAAGAATCTACACCGGTACACGACGTTCGCTCGTGTCTCAGGACTGACTCGACCGTGTTCGACCGCCATTTGGGTCTTCGAAGGTCTTGTTCAAACATTTGCTGCTGAGGTCTGCACTCGTGGTCGACATCACCCAGGATCGCGTCCTATTTTTCTGTGCTTGACGCAGCGAATGCATGAACAAAAAATAATCCATAAAGTTACCCAGTTGCCAGTGCTTTGTACTGTGTCTTTTCCATATATATATATATATATATATATATATATATATATATATATATATATATATATATATATATTAGAGCCAGGCAATCCTACCTAGGTTTCGCCTAAACGGATCTTCAGGGTAAACTGGCTAAAAAGGAAATGGCGGAACAGTATTTATTGATAAAACCATTAAAAACATAAAACCACGTGACAAAAAAAATTGACAAAAAGAAAGAAAATAAATATATATCATACTGATTATAAAACCCTGGCTGTGTGTGTGTGTGTGTGTGTGTGTGTGTACACGTTTATATATTGGATTTCCTATATTTTTCAACCGATTTCAACAAAAACTTCACAGGACTACGTAAAATTACCTTGCGATGGTTCTGACAGCACCAAAAATTGGAAAAACACAGTTGTTTTTGGACGAAATCAATTTGAAAACACGATTAAGAGTCATCGCTGACACGAAAATGAAAGGGGGACAACTGATATCGAGTCATACTTATTATAAAACACAGGTTGTTTGTGTGTGTATGTGTTTGTTTATATATGGGATCGGATTTCCTACATTTTTCAACCGATTTCAACAAAACTTCACTTTTTTTGGCAGGTAGTGTTTCTTATTGTCTTGCACAATTTTTTCTTTATTTTTACATTCAGAATGCTTTAAAAATTCCATTTACAAGACAATTGTTTATAATCAAATTCTATTCAATCGGTAGACTCATAACGATTGAAAACAATGTTTTTGTTTGAGTTTGGATTTGACCAATTCGTAAAAAAAAAAAAAAAAAACTAATTAAAACATGCGTGTCCGTCAACCTTAAACAATTAAACAATAATCTTTGTCAATTTTATTTTTCAGTTTTTATGATGGTCGATACTTGATCTATCTCTTACTGTTACATCCCCGGGCAACGCCGGGCTCTACTGCTAGTATATATATATATATATATATATATATATATATATATAGTAAAACTGGCCACTCGTATTCGAGGATACCCGTCTACTAGGACGGCTGGCCAGTCCCTATTGCAGACGCTTGATAAGGCACATTTGTGTTTATTCAACACCCACGGAGCCCACCTGTGGTTTATACTACAACTATGATTAGCGGACCTTAGTTACATTTTTTGGGACAGAGTGTGTTATCTAGCGTTATCAAAAATTCGCTCAAGGCCTCGGCCACGATGACTTGTGAATTCGTGCTAGCTCAGCTATCGATGCCGCCCCCCCAAGTGTTCCGTCTACCCAGTTTCACTCACAAGGCTTGAGCCAACCCGTGGCATGGTTTTTAGGCGCTTTCCAAAAGTGCCGCACGCTGGGATCGATCCCTCCAATTGGATAACATCAGGAAGTCTCTTTCCTGACAAATCGACTATGGTGAGATTCGAACCCGGGTCTTATGATCAAAATCCGAACGTTCTAACCACTTGGCCATATATAGATTAAATAACATTTTCTTGCCTCATCGCACTGCTCTTGTTTTCAGTCACATTATGCGATATTTGGGTTTTTCAAAGATAGACTTAACATGTAATATGGTCGAGATTATGGTGAATGTCTGGTGAATTTCTGGCATTGAGCGTTATTATTTACACCATTTACATGCGGACTATTGTCCTCGTCTTTATCGTTGTTTTCACGTTTCAAACGTTGTGCCCTTCGGCTTTCATCAGGAGTATGTCGATTCGGGTAACCTGCAGGGAATTCTAAACTAAACCCTTTTTTTAAACTACGGGGAGTAGACTGTTCTCATTCCTCTGCCAATGTCTAGTGATATCTCGTATAGTTCTTATATTTAGTACACAATGTCCGTCCCAGGAATTAAATGACGGCAAGTTTTCAACAGCCGCAGCAGTTGTAACAAAAGAGAAAAGCTTCGATCGTAGCTTAATGATAGAATAGATTTTGCTTGAAAGCGGTTTCCCAGATTAAAATAGAGGTTCGATTCCTGCTGGTAGGCATATTTTTTTTTAAGGCTTTCGATTTGTAGTTCGGTAGACATTAATTTCGCTGTTTTTTTTTTTTTGTTTTTTTTTTTGGTTGTTTTTTTTTTTTAAAGATATCTACTATAACACGTGTACCCACTAAATATAACGTTTATAATACTAACAATAATGTCGAATTAAAAATCCATTTTTTAAATGAATTAACTCCAAGTAAGGCGATAATTCCAGTATAAAGCAAGGGGCTGCCGGGATTGAAAGAAAATGCAAAGACTTTAAAAGGAACCGGAAACGCAATCCTAAATAGTAAATAAAGAATAACACTCTACTCCTGTTCAAAAGACTGGGGAGACGCATGACCTGGATGATAGGCGAACCTGCTGTATTAAGAACTGCATATTCCCCAGCTTTATTTCAATAAATATGTAGAAATATCTTTTCTTTTTTTAACGAAAACGCTTGGAATTTATTTTAGGAGCCGAGAAGTGGCCAAAAAAGGAATTGACGTGGTCAATAAAAAACTTCAGTAAAACCTCGAAAATGTCCCAAGAACAGCAATTGTAAGTAGTCGAATCTATTGTTTCGTTAACATGTATTTGATTGGCAGCCATTTGCAATTTTAATGAAATGGTCTTTGCAAAACATAAGTCATTATATTTTTTAGATTTTGGATGCAGGAGAAGACTTTTTTTACAATCGAAATGGATATTTTTCACATTTATTTATTTATTATTCAGTTTTGCTATTATTTAACTCCTAAACTTGATCCCCCACTTGATGTTGTCTAAAAAATCTAATCAACTCTTACTGGCCAATACGGTTCAGTTTTGTTATTATTTAACTCCTAAACTGATCCCCCACTTGATGTTGTCTAAAAAGTCTAATCAACCCTTACTGGCCAATAGGGTTCAGTTTTGTTATTTAACTTAAACTGATCCCCCTTGATGTTGTCTAAAAGTCCCCCTTACTGGCCAATAGGGTTGTTATTATTTTGTCTAACTGATCCCCCACATGATGTTGTCTAAAAATCTAATCAACTCTTACTGGCCAATAGGGTTCAATTTTGTTATTATTTAACTCCTAAACTGATCCCCCACTTGATGTTGTCTAAAAAGTCTAATCAACCCTTACTGGCCAATAGGGTTCAGTTTTGTTATTATTTAACTCCTAAACTGATCCCCCACTTGATGTTGTCTAAAAGTCTAATCAAACTCTAATAGGGTTCAGTTTTGTTATTATTTAACTCCTTAACTGATCCCCAATGATGTTGGGTAAAAATCTAATCAACTCTTTGGCCAATAGGGTTCAATTATTTAACTCCTAAACTGATCCCCCACTTGATGTTGTCTAAAAAGTCTAATCAACCCTTACTGGCCAATAGGGTTCAGTTTTGTTATTATTTAACTCCTTAACTGATCCCCCACATGATGTTGTCTAAAAAATCTAATCAACTCTTACTGGCCAATAGGGTTCAATTTTGTTATTATTTAACTCCTAAACTGATCCCCCACTTGATGTTGTCTAAAAAATCTAATCAACTCTTACTGGCCAATAGGGTTCAATTTTGTTATTATTTAACTCCTAAACTGATCCCCCACTTGATGTTGTCTAAAAAGTCTAATCAACTCTTACTGGCCAATAGGGTTCAGTTTTGTTATTATTTAAGTCCTAAACTGATCCCCCACTTGATATTGTCTAAAAGTCTAATCAACTCTTACTGGCCAATAGGGTTCAGTTTTGTTATTATTTAACTCCTAAACTGATCCCCCACTTGATGTTCTCTAAAAAGTCTAATCAACTCTTACGGGCCAATGGGGTTCAGTTTTGTTATTATTTCACTCCTAAACTGATCCCCCACTTGATGTTGCCTAAAAGTCTAATCAACTCTTACTGGCCAATAGGGTTCAGTTTTGTTATTATTTAAGTCCTAAACTGATCCCCCACTTGATATTGTCTAAAAAGTCTAATCAACTCTTACTGGCCAATAGGGTTCAGTTTTGTTATTATTTAAGTCCTAAACTGATCCCCCACTTGATATTGTCTAAAAAGTCTAATCAACTCTTACTGGCCAATAGGGTTCAGTTTTGTTATTATTTCACTCCTAAACTGATCCCCCACTTGATGTTGCCTAAAAAGTCTAATCAACTCTTACTGGCCAATAGGGTTCAGTTTTGTTATTATTTAAGTCCTAAACTGATCCCCCACTTGATATTGTCTAAAAAGTCTAATCAACTCTTACTGGCCAATAGGGTTCAGTTTTGTTATTATTTCACTCCTAAACTGATCCCCCACTTGATGTTCTCTAAAAAGTCTAATCAACTCTTACTGGCCAATGGGGTTCAGTTTTGTCATTATTTAACTCCTAAACTGATCCCCCACTTGATGTTCTCTAAAAAGTCTAATCAACTCTTACTGGCCAATAGGGTTCAGTTTTGTCATTATTTAACTCCTAAACTGATCCCCCACTTGATGTTGCCTAAAAAGTCTAATCAACTCTTACTGGCCAATAGGGTTCAGTTTTGTTATTATTTAACTCCTAAACTGATCCCCACTTGATGTTGTCTAAAAGTCTAATCAACTCTTACTGGCCAATAGGGTTCAGTTTTGTTATTATTTAACTCCTAAACTGATCCACCACTTGATGTTGTCTAAAAAAGTCTAATCAACTCTTACTGGCCAATGGGGTTCAGTTTTGTTATTATTTAACTCCTAAACTGATCCCCACTTGATGTTGTCTAAAAGTCTAATCAACTCTTACTGGCCAATAGGGTTCAGTTTTGTTATTATTTAACTCCTAAACTGATCCCCACTTGATGTTGTCTAAAAAGTCTAATCAACTCTTACTGGCCAATAGGGTTCAGTTTTGTTATTATTTAACTCTAATCTGATTCCCCACTTGATGTTGTCTACAAAGTCTAATCAACTCTTACTGGCCAATAGGGTTCAGTTTTGTTATTATTTAACTCCTAAACTGATCCCCCACTTGATGTTGTCTAAAAAGTCTAATCAACTCTTACTGGCCAATAGGGTTCAGTTTTGTTATTATTTCTAAACTGATTTGATGTTGTCTAAAAAGTCTAATCAACTCTTACTGGCCAATAGGGTTCAGTTTTGTTATTATTTAACTCCTAAACTGATCCCCCACTTGATGTTGTCTAAAAGTCTAATCAACTCTTACTGGCCAATAGGGTTCAGTTTTTTTATTATTTAACTCCTAAACTGATCCCCCACTTGATGTTGCCTAAAAAGACATATCAACTCTTACTGGCCAATAGGGTTCAGTTTTGTTATTATTTAACTCCTAAACTGATCCCCCACTTGATGTTGCCTAAAAAGTCTAATCAACTCTTACTGGCCAATAGGGTTCAGTTTTGTTATTATTTAACTCCTAAACTGATCCCCCACTTGATGTTGTCTAAAAGTCTAATCAACTCTTACTGGCCAATAGGGTTCAGTTTTTGTTATTATTTAACTCCTAAACTGATCCCCCACTTGATGTTGTCTAAAAAGACTAATCAACTGTTACTGGCCAATAGGGTTCAGTTTTGTTATTATTTAACTCTAAACTGATCCCCCACTTGATGTTGTCTAAAAGTCTAATCAACCCTTACTGGCCAATAGGGTTCAGTTTTGTTATTATTTAACTCCCTAAACTGATCCCCACTTGATATTGTCTAAAAAGTCTTATCAACTCTTACTGGCCAATAGGGTTCAGTTTTGTTATTATTTAACTCCTAAACTGATCCCCCACTTGATATTGTCTAAAAGTCTAATCAACTGTTACTGGCCAATAGGGTTCAGTTTTGTTATTATTTAACTCCTAATCTGATCCCCACTTGATGTTGTCTAAAAGTCTAATCAACCCTTACTGGCCAATAGGGTTCAGTTTTGTTATTATTTAACTCCTAAACTGATCCCCACTTGATATTGTCTAAAAGTCTTATCAACTCTTACTGGCCAATAGGGTTCAGTTTTGTTATTATTTAACTCCTAAACTGATCCCACACTTGATATTGTCTAAAAAGTCTAATCAACTCTTACTGGCCAATAGGGTTCAGTTTTGTTATTATTTAACTCCTAAACTGATCCCCCACTTGATATTGTCTAAAAAGTCTAATCAACTCTTACTGGCCAATAGGGTTCAGTTTTGTTATTATTTAACTCCTAAACTGATCCCCCACTTGATGTTGTCTAAAAAGTCTAATCAACTCTTACTGGCCAATAGGGTTCAGTTTTGTTATTATTTAACTCCTAAACTGATCCCCACTTGATATTGTCTAAAAGTCTAATCAACTCTTACTGGCCAATAGGGTTCAGTTTTGTTATTATTTAACTCCTAAACTGATCCCCGACTTGATATTGTCTAAAAAGTCTAATCAACTCTTACTGGCCAATAAGGTTCAGTTTTGTTATTATTTAACTCCTAAACTGATCCCCCACTTGATGTTGTCTAAAAAGTCTAATCAACTCTTACTGGCCAATAGGGTTCAGTTTTGTTATTATTTCACTCCTAAACTGATCCCCCACTTGATGTTGTCTAAAAAATCAACTCTTACTGGCCAATAAATATTCACATGCTTTATTTCTTACGTTTCTTATGTAGATATGCTATTCGCCAAGGTTTCCGAAGATGGTCAGAAGTTACTCCTTTAATTTTCCGTGAGGTGACAGGAAAATCTGACCTGGAACTGTCTTTCGAGAGATATGAACATGGTGACAAGGATCCTTTTGACGGAAAAGGTGCGGATATTATGCTTTCTTCCATTTTGTTCTGAACCCTAACCCTAACATCGTTTCATGAGGGAATTTGCAAACATTCCTGGATTCACCCACTTGCCATTACCCTACCAAATATCCAGACATCAAAAGTTATTTTTAATTCCTTCTTGCTCAGGCCAAGAACCCTTCAGATTGGAACTAACAGTTGGTTTTATTGCACAATAAATTGCCTCTGTCCTTTGCTTTTCCATCAAATATTGCTCATCACATGACCAAATCGTGTCGAGGTAGATAACAATGTCCAATCGAACAGGGACAATCGATTTAGCAAATATGGATAAACGTGCCTGCAATAAGTGTTGACCATGTTTGCCATAGTCTCTGAATACGGAATCCAGTGAAGTCCGTAATCTCTTCAATATCAGAGGTTGGCAGTGAAGATTCGGAGAAAGTAGCGTCTGTTAATTCTTTAAGTCTTCGATATCAGGTTGGCATTGAAGATATTTTAGGAGAATGGCTGCCTTTATACACGTCGCATTGAATATTTTGAGCTTTCTGGTTGGTTAACCCTTCTATTGGTGAACTATAAAATGAGTCAGCTCATTTAGGCTAGCTCACTAGTACATACATATCCAAAAAACTGTAACAATAAGTGTCAAAACGGTATATCAAAAGGAAGGCTTTTCCCTTGACGCCGCTATTATCTTAAATACCTTCACTCCTCAGCAATGTTTATTGTTTTAAAAAGCGGTGATTAGAACTGAAATAAAAACTAGACTTATGAAAGTGAATTTATATATTTTCCTTGTTCTTGAGAATTGACAAAAAATAATGAAAATCTTGTCCAGACCAATGATATGAAAGTAAAACAATGTGGCGCGTTAGAACACTAACAATTCCAACTGAAGTCGGTGTCCTCGAATTGATTGGAAAAAAATTCCCATAGACTCACTGAATGATTCTCTGGTAGCCCATGTTTTAAAGAAATACAAAAAATTGTATTCACAAATACAACCCGTACGTTACTAAGCGCTTTATCTATGTAAAATGTGTATGATCTAAGGGTTTTTTGCTAGTTTTTTTTTTTGGTGGGGGGGAGGCGTCAAAAAAAGCTCAGTGTAAAATGTTATTGCTATTTATGACCTTAGGTCTATAGTTTGGACCCGAAAAAAATGAGTATACACCGGAATTGAAAGGAAATATAATAATAATAATAATAATAATAATAATAATAATAATAATAATAATAATAAAAAAAATAAAAATTTTTTTCTTTGCAGTGGAAAGTGTCATGACGCCATTTCTAACCTTAGGTCCCTGGACGGGACCCGGAAAGAAATGTGTAAATACCAGATATCAAAGGAAATAAAAATGATAATGGTAATACATGATAGTCTCTGCAGGCTGCACTTTATCTTTGAAGATCTTCAAAAAGCTATCAAAATACAAGGGCCTTGAAATCGAAATCTCAAAGATGTGGCACACGAGGACATTAAAAATACCACTTGTAGTTGGAGCCCTCAGATTGTTGGAAAAGATTCCAGCAGACTCATTGAAGGAATTTCTGATAACCCGTGCCTTAAAGAAATACAAAAACAAATTGTACTCACAAGTACAGCCCACACCTTAAGAACGTCTTTATCTATGTAAAATGTGTGCGATTTTTTTTTCAAAACTGCTCACTGTAAAATGTCATGGTGCCATTTCTGACCTTAGATCTCTTGTCGAGACCCGGAAAGAAATGCGTATACACCAGAAACTAAAGGAAATAAAACAATAATAATAATAATAATAATAATAATAATAATAATAATAATAAGCAAATACTGCGAAAATATAAAACACATGAAAAAAGAATGTAGCAAAACAACTTAAACGAAATGTAATCATGACAGATTAGGATCGTCGATATAATGGGAACTGTGCAAATCATATATGTACATCCGTATAAACAACTGTTTGTTAACACAAACCATAAACCGCTCCTGAAACAAAAAGTTGATATTTTGAGATCCAGGATCATCATTATCATATACAACTCAAGATAATAATAATTATTATTATTATTATTATTATTATTATTATTATTGAAATCGAAATCTCAAAAATTTGTCACATGGGAACATCAATAATCCCTGTTGTAGTTGGTGCGCTCGGATTGGTTGGAAAAGATTCCAGTAGACTAATTGAAGGGATTCCTGTAAGCCCATGCCTCAAAGAAATACAAAAAATTGTTCCCACGAGTACAGCCCACACCTTCTTAAGAAGGGCTTTATCTATGTAAAATATGTTTATGTTTTTTTTTGTTTTTTTTTTTTTTTAATTGGTCAATGGAAAGTGCCATGATGCCATTTCTAGCCTTAGGTCTCTGGGCGGGACCCGGAAAGAAACGTGCACACACCAGAAATCAAAGGAAATAAAATAAAAATAATAATTACCATACTGCTGCATCTTGCAAGGCTCTCATGGCTTTTGACTTTAAGTGACTGAAGTTTTTACATGTTTTGTCTTAGCGAATCAAGATTAGCTGCAGTAAATCTCCTGATCACAACCATAAATGTGCTTGTCAATTGTCTGATCTTGACGGGTTGGGCATGTAGCCGGAGAGTTGACAGCCTGTACATCTCTATTCATGGGCGGGAGTAATTAGGAAACACCATCAAAGAATTTTAATATATATATATATATTTTTTAATTTTGAAGGATGGAGCAGTTAAAGCGCCTTTGCAGTTACGTCTAGATATTTGTCAACACTCTCAATCAGAGACTTTCTTACGAAGTAAGAAATGTTAGAAAATTGCCAATAATTTAAAAATTTACCGTAGTTACCGCTCTTATTTTCGAATAATGTCGTGTATGGACGTCCGTACTTACAAACAACTGGCAATTTTATAGACACACAAAATGATTTCAAAATTCTTTTTAAAATATTAGGAATCGCTGAATTGTCGTAAGACTTTCTATTTATAATTAGCAAATATAATTAGCAAATATAATTAGCAAATATAATTAGCAAATATAATTAGCAAATATAATTAGCAAATATAATTAGCAAATATAGATTTTACACAGCATTTTCCGGTGTTATTACACAATTTTAAAATTTTAAACTTTAAAAATAAATCTAATTAAATATTAAAAACTGAAAATATTTATTGTAAAAATTCATTATTCATCGATTTTTAAGACAATAGTGTCCATGATATATATTATTCATAAAATCAATTAAATTCTAATTAAATATTTTAGGTTTATTGCATTTTTTATTTTCACAATATATATATATATATATATATATATATATATATATATATATATATATATATAATATTATATATTAATATTTGCGGTTTCTGTACACAATAACATCAGTCGATATTTTCTTCACGTATTGTTTGAAATTCTGAGATAATGCATTTTAGTCATCAAATCAAATTTTTTATTATTATTTTCTCCGACTACTTTTTTCCAGGTAGCATTTTGGCCCATGCTTTCCCACCAGTCGATGGCCGGACCCATTTTGACGACGACGAAGATTGGACAGTAGGAGTGGACCATGGTACAAATTTTGAATTTGTGGCGACACACGAGATTGGACACGCCCTCGGACTTAACCATCTACCCGGTATAGACCCTATTATGTCGCCATTCTACCCGGGATATGTACCGAATTTTAATCTCCATCGGTATGACATCATGGAAATACAGAGACGTTACGGTAAGTATTTATTTAGCATGTTATCTACCCGTCAACCTCAGCACATCGGCCATGGATCTTCTTTTATGTACCTTCTCCTTAAAGGGCGTGGGCAGTCATGGCTCTCCACAACTTTCTGTTCTAGTAATTTTTTTTTTAACTATCCCTCTACTCCTCATGATGTGCCATACATTTGCGTAAGTTCGTTTGATTGGTGATAATCTGAGTACGGCAGTAGATTGCATCTGGCAACAAGGCCTCTGATAGGGAAGTTTTGAGGAGCGTGGGAGCACCTCTTAATTGATGACGTTCCCAGGTCTAATCTGACTCAGGGTGTCAGCAAAAATCTATGGGCAAATAGTGAACCCTCAAAATGGGGTCAAAGCATGAAGATATAAAAATACATTAGAAAAAAATTACCATTTTCATAGTAAAATAATAAAAAATTATCATCAATATATCACTGGAAAAAAAATTAGCAGCAATGCATTTGGATGCTAAAAAGAATTACCAAATCTCACAAGAAAATAAAATGTCGGCATTAAATGACACATAAGGATGTTGATATGCCGTTAAACAAATCAAACTAAGTGTTTCAATTCTCCAAGCATTCTTTCCTCGTCATGTGCTCCAGAAATTTCAACTGCCTCTTTCTGGTCGTAAGCACAGGTATCCATTCCCCTTAAAACTGCCACATTAGACCGACAACAAACTATTTCTTATTTTAACAGTCAAAATATAATCCTTGAAAATGGCTAAATGTATAGCCGAAAGCGGTCGGATAAAAAGAGCATTCGAACAGTTTTTATATAATTTATCGTCCGAAAAGAAAAAAAAATTATTAGATCGCATAAGATATTGTATAAAAAACTAAATAAAATCACCTTGTCTGTCGTTTTCAATGAAATGTGCATATATATATATATATATATATATATATATATATATATATATATATATATAGAAAATGTATGTAGCAGTTATCTACATTGAAATTAGATGCTAGATCATCACAGTGGAAATATGACTGAAGCCAAGATGCCAAGTCAGCACCGATAACATTGCAGATTTTTCTTTTTTGTACAGGGTGTGGCAAAAATATCTCTCACATATACCTCCCACATAATGAATGTTAAGACATTAGCTAGCGGAAGACATCATTGCCGCTGCATTTAAATTTTTGAAGACCAAAACTGACTGCAAAAGCAAAAGTCCGAGAGTTCCGCAAGCAAGAAGTGCAAGAGAAGAAACTGTTAGCATGGGACTTACGGTTACATTTAGGCATTTCAACTGTAAAAGGACGATACCTCGCCGCCAGTCTAGTACTGCGCTTAAATTCGTAAAGTCTAGTTACCAAAGAGGAAAGCTCGTCAAAACAATTACCCTGAAAATATCTACAGAATAGGCACAGGAAAGCTACATTATGGTAGTGGGAAAGTAACTGAAGATGCCAGATCAGGACCAATAATATTGCAGATTCTTCTTTGGATTTTATCAAGAATCTCTAAATACATAGAAGAAGTACTAGACCTGATATGACGGCGATATTTAATACATGGACGAATTGTTGACTTATAAATACGTAAGATAGATTCTGTCGAGAAAAAAATCGTCTAGAAAGACACTGTGAACCAATTTCCTATCAGCAGACCTAGCAATTGATTTAATGTAACCCTTCCATTTGTCATGTTCGAAAGCAGAAAGATGATTTAATAGAATGCCTTAAATTTTAAATGATGATAAACTCTCAATTCATTTTCTTTTCTTTTCTTTTTTTCCAGGTAAAAGTGAAAGAGCCCCAAGTTCAAACCTACAAAAATTCTGCGGCCAGAATTATGAAAACATAAACGCTGCCATGCGAAGTAAGTCAGATCTTTTTATTTAGAACCGCCTCCCCCTCGGCAAAATACAACCCGACTCAAATTATAAATCAACAATGAGTGTTGTATTATCGAAAACTTCCTCTTTGTCTGTGTCTCGCCGCAGCTTTTTATCTTTCGCAAATCTTACTAACTTTTGTTTTCACCATCACTCCCAATCAGCCATAAGTTTACACATACTTGTTACATAAGGTTCGCAGTGGCAGATTGTTGGGAAGACCTTTTTCCTTATGATTCTAAATATAAGGGGCAGTTTTTTTGTTTGTTTTTTTTTACTTTTCCTTAAAACTTCTTCGTTAACCACATGTTCAGTCTATCGTATTCTTAGCATTCTTCTGTAGAACCTCATATCTGTTGCTTCAAGTCTCTTCCTCATCTGTGACGAGCATTCATAGCCATATAAGATGGCCAACATTGCATAACAGTTCTTAACAAATTTCATTTTTTCTAACAAGATTTTCCTGTTTCTTAATACATTGCTAAGCTTTTGGGAGGCATCTTTCCCTCTCATATAGGAGAACTGATATTATATTATATTATAAAAACAGAAAAACTTTTTAACTCGTGTAAATTGAACATACACCCTTGTGCAAATTAATTGAAACAAAATGATTAATTCCATTATTATTTACATTTTTTTCGTATTTTTCCAAATGAAACATGACCCAATGCACATGTTAGTACTTCCTATGTCCATTCCATGAAGTCATTCCTTGCAGATTGACCAAAGATTCTCGATTGGATTTAAATCAGGAGAGTTTCCGGGCCAGTCTATAGTACTTTGATTTGCTCACTGGTAAGGCTTACCAGTGTGCTTGTGCAGCGTTACAAAATTCGTACACTTCCTTGGAGTAACATCCATCACAGACAATATCCGTAGGACAACTAATCGACAGTCAAGTCAATAGTGCCTGGGTGTTATAAAAGCTGATGAAATCACGGATGACGCAATATTTTTCAAGGCCAAACAAATTTCATCATACACCCCGAAATTAGATTCATATTACTCCACACCACTGCAAATCACCTAATCTGAGAAAAGAATAAAAGTCGATTACATCCTGTCACTCTAATGGGTCTAAAACTGACCGTATATTAAAAGAAAGGAAAGTAAAGCGTTTGTTTCAATTAATTTGCAGAAGGGTGTATGTCTATTTTTTGTAGGCTCGTGGAAACCTTGTCTCTATGTCTCTATTAATTAATTGTGATTTTCATCCCATAATATTTATATTCGACATTACATGACCCAACAATTGTTGATGTGTTTGTAAATTATCCTAAGCTAATCTAACTTAAAAACTATAATGTGGTTAGAACATTCGTATTCTGACCATGAGACCCGGGTTCGAATCTCACCATGGTCAAGAAGGAGACTTCCTGATGTTATCGGTCTGGAGGTGTGCGATCCCAGCGTGTGCCACCTTTGGAAAGTGCCTGAAAACCATAACACGGGTTGACCCAAGCCTTGTGAGTGAAACTGGGTAAACGGAACCTTGGGGGGCCGTTGATAGCTGTGCTAGCACGAAGTCACAAGTCATCATGGCCGAGGGCTTGAGCGTGCTGGTCTTGTTCAAATTGTTGATCACACTAGATAGCACGCTCTTTCCCAGAAACTATAACTGCATAGTTGCAGTATAAACCACAGGTGGACTCTGGGTTTTGAATAAACACGAATGTGCCTGAGCAAGCGTCTGAAATAGGGATTGTCTAGCTGCCCTAGTAGATGGGCATCCTTGAATACGAGTGGCTAGCTATACAATCTAACATTTTTTTTTTTTAAATCTAAAGTTAAATTAAAGAAATTATTCGTTGATGATAAAAAAAAAAGTCCCGCCTGAATTAATTTTATTTGTTTATTCACAGTAAACGGAAGTGCAGATTATCTTTTCGTTGACCGAAAAATGGTTATCAGTGGTTTGAGTGGACGAAAGATATTTGTTACACGTATGTTCCCCCGCGGTCCAAAAACGGTAGATGCTGCTTCCTTCTCCAAGCTGACAAACACGATCTATTTGTTCAAGGGTAAGTATTTTCAGTTCATGAACAAAAGACATTGGGGTTTCTTATTGTCATTGGACCAATCCACGAAACTCCCAACCGCGGCAATGGAGTTGCTGACTGGGGACCCCGGGTAATGTTTTGTGATCCTCGTTATCTTATCAAAATTTGCTTTTCTTTTTCTGCCTCCATTTATATACGTTACTGTTATGATGTTTATTTGAGGCTAGTAGAGACAAACGCCAAATAATACGTAACAATAAAAAGGGTTTTAATAGGATGGTAAAAAAGGTACAGAAATCGCCTGAGTAGTCAATAACTAGCTCAGCTAAGAACTTCTCTGAGTATTTATCGATCCCCCCACGAGGATTGAATGTAGCACAAGGCCGAGTTTAATGTGGGTTGATCCGAGCCCGTAGGCTCGGCCAAAAATATAGCCCTTGAACCCGCCTAGACGGGTTCAGGGCCTGTCTACCTCCCCGGACGAAACCTTGCCCTTCGGCAAAGCTTCGTCCGTGTCCCTCTCTGCTAACGCAGAGAGTTCGACAGACGTCGGAACCAGTCAAAGACTGTATCGAGACGGAAGTCAGCTAAGAACTTCTCTGTCTAACTATCTTCCGTCATGTCAACTGACATGCCACTATTTAAAGTCTTTGTTCACAGACGCAGACAAGTTCATCTTCAAGAGGGGTGGTAGGTTTCCGACACAACAGTTACAAATTAAACTAAGCACAACTAACTATTAATAGTTAAAAAATATTAGTGGATTTTGACGCCATTCTATTTTTTGTCTAAATAAGTGAATTTGTTTTTCTGATCTCTTGAATAAAATACTATAAAATCCATTATAATTTTTATCCATAATGTTTTTAGTATGAAATATTACATTTCATGTAGCACAATGCCAAATGTGGGCAGCGAGGAAATGTTGCTAGTCACTGACTATCTAACACCTAGTTAATCTGGTTCACAACCCTTTCATTCATTACAATTTACTGATACGCCAGAAGAATCCATTCATCGCCATCCAATCCAATACATACCATAATACTGCATTTTTACAGGGTTCCTATTAAAGCACCCACAAAAATCAATGGTTTAAACTCGAACCCCTAAATGCCAACCAACTCCTACATCCATGAGAGGGCCGGTTTGTACTACCTTCAAAACCTTTCAACCACTTAGGGCCTCAGGCAGTGCTTTGTGGCCCTTGCTATCTTATCAACATTTGCTTTTTTCTACCTAGATTTATATACATTACAAATTAAACTAAGTGCAACTGATTATTAAAGTAGGAACATTTTTAGCGGATTTTGACGTCATTCTGGGGTCTAAAAACTATATAAAATTAATTGCTTTTTACCCGAATGTTGAAGGTGTTAAAACTATTCAACTTTTTAACAAGATGTAACTAAAGTCAATGTTAAAAATTGCCACAAAACATTGTTGATTTATTTAAGATGGAATGATCTATTATGATATGCCTCTAATTTGTATTTAGATACACTAGATTCATTTAAATTTTTTTCTAGTCGAATTGTTCACCTATATTGCAGTGTTCCATTAAGCGCTACTGTAGTATATCTACCGTTCAATTTTTCATCTATAAAACACTATATAAAAACCACTATTTTTTTTATCCATAATATTTTTATTATGAAATTTTAAAGTTCATGTGGCACAAGGCCAAACGGGTGTGAGGAGAGAGGTTAATCTGGTTCAGGGCCCATTCATTCATTACAATTTACTCATACCCCACACGAACTCATTCACTCCAAAACACACCATAATATTGAATATTATTTTTATTCATAATGTTGAATGGGTTAACATTTTTAACAAGAAAAATCTCAAGTTGGTGTTAAAAATTGCCATGAAACATTATTGATTTATTAACGGTAGAATTATCTATTATGACATGTTTCTAATCTGTATTTAGATACATTGTATTTATTTTCAATTTTTCTAGTTGAATTGTTCACCTATATTCTCTACTTAATTACCTTTCTATCTTTTTCTACTTAATTGCTTTTCTTTATTTTTCTACTTATTTGCCTTTCTTTCTTTCTTTCTTTCTATCTTTCTTCTTTCTTTCTTTCTTTTTCTAATTATTTGCCTTTCTTTTATTTTTCTACTTATTTGACTTTCTTTTTTCTTTACTTCTTTCTTTCTTTCTTCCTGTTTCTAATTATTTGCCTCTCTTATTTTTCTACTTATTTGCCTTTCTTTTTTTCTAATTATTTGATTTACTTTCTTTCGCTATCTGCCTAAAAGTCTTCCCTATATTGATATGAAAGTGCATAAAAACAAATCTTAGTCTTAGACAAAAACTAACGAATTCCGCCTCCTCCCTCTCTAAGGGCTGCTAATTTCCTTATTCCTTTCAATCTCATTTCTACAGGATCAAAAGTCTGGGCATTCCTTGCAAAGGCACCAGAACAGTTTGTTCTCAAAAATGGTTTCCCAAAAAATGTGCTAAATTCAGAAACCAAGAAACCCGAAGCTGCGTTCAAGATTAAAGAAAATTTTGGAATGGAGACAATATTTCTAATCAAGGTAAATCTTTTTACATATTTTTTTTTTTTTTTTTTTTTTTGCTTGAAGTCTGTGTTCAATAGGAAATACTGATTTCAAAAGTGGGTGTGCTAAGCGTAACAGATACAAACAAATATATCCGTTTCAATTGGACGATGTTAATTTTTCTATAAAAACATCATGTGATTCTTTTTGTAATTATACTCTGTTTATAAAATTTGAATTCAATTTTATGTGCGATGTGAATATTTCGTAATGCGTGTCAATCTTACAAATTCCATGAAATGACTGATTTTTATTGTCTCCTCTAAATTGCAGGAAGGTAAACTTTGGGTGTGGCTACCCTATGATGAAAGGTTAGCCCCCGGTATTGGATTCCCTGCCAATGTAATATTTCCCGGAATTCCAGAGCGCATGGACGCAGCCATTTCCAGTGAAAATATCAATTTTATTGTTGGAAAAGAGTAAGTCAGAAAAAAAGTTGCTTTCTTTTTCATTTTACAGCTCACTTGCATTTTCTTCCTTTTTCTTTCTTTCTTTTTTCTTTCTTTATTTCTTTCTTTCTTTCTTTCTCTTTATTTCTTTTCCTTTCTTTCTTTTCCTTTCTTTCTTTTTCTTTCTCTTTCTTTCTTTTCCTTTCTTTCTTTTCCTTTCTTTCTTTTTTTTTCTTTCTCTTTCTTTCTTTTCCTTTCTTTCTTTTCCTTTCTTTCTCTTTCTTTCTTTCTCTTTTTTTCTTTCTTTTCCTTTCTTTCTTTTTCTTTCTTTCTTTTTTTTCTTTCTTTATTTCTTTCTCTTTCTTTCTCTTTCTTTCTCTTTCTTTTTCCTCTTTGTTTCTCTTTCTTTCTTTCTCTTTGTTTCCTTCTTTCTCTTAATTTCCTTCTCCGGCCTATCTAATAAGACCCATAATATCAGAAAAGCAATCCACCCAACAAACTCTCTCTCTCTCTCTCTCTCTATATATATATATATATATATATATATATATATATATATAAGATTAGTGCAAAAATAATGTCGTTTGTTGACGTTCAACTTCAAAGAGAAAACGACATTATTTCTGCACCAACCTGATATATATATATATATATATATATATATATATATATATATATATATATATATGATGGTTCATACATATTATGTGGTTGTGTGGTGTGTATGCTAATGTATATGACGGTACACATATACATATACGGGTTCATATAGGTATTTATAAATAGTGGCCGAGGTGATAAACTGGGGCCAAAACACAATGAAAGTATAAATATAAATTATTGCAGTAGAAATAAGAGCATTACATCTAGCAAAAGATTTGTCCCTTGACATAAACCCTCTTTTAAAAAAAATGGGTCAACAAATCCTGATCTACAAATTGATTTCTTACGAAGAGTACATATTCTGTTCAAACAAACCTTTCCTAAAAGTCTTGTCGGTATTAAATAACCAACTGAGGTTGATAACCTGTAAAACAAAATATACCTAAACCAAACCTATAACTACTGGTATATATATATATATATATATATATATATATATATATATATATATATATATATATATATATAAAAACATTTTTATGTTTAACGTTCTTTTTTATAGATACAAGTATTTAAGTAAATGCTCTGTTTATAATAAACAGTATTAAATAACATTTACCGGCCTGAATGTCAAAAGAAATTTTCATAGAAAATATTCGTCCTTTGACAGGATTCGAACCTGCATCCAAGACGGAAACGTCATTTACGCTGACGTGCCTTAACCGACTCGGCCCAAAGGCGTTTTTACTTAAATACTAGTATCTATAAAAAAAGAACGTTAAACATAAAATTGTCTTTAATAAATAAATTGTCGGACTTTGTCCATTTCTTAATATATATATATATATATATATATATATATATATATATATATATATATATATATATATATATATATATATATATATATATACACACAAAAAGAGCTCAATATATTTATTATTATACAGCAAGTATTTAATACACAATAAAATCCAAAATCACCTAATATGGAGAATAAGGTTATTTCAACCGACCAAAAATAAAATTCGTTAGTCTTATTCAAACCCGGTATAGATTGAGTTCATGTCAGAATTAGAAATTTAACCGTGAAAGCTACAAAAAAAAGTGCGAAAAACTAATACAGAATTTATTCATTTCAATGTTTCAGTCAGACGAAAGGCAGTGGTCTGGGGAGTGTGGAAGGTATTAGTTTTAACGGAAAGAGGTTTTATAAAATTAAAACCTTATGACATTAAATTGAGGTTATATGAGGAATGATATAATGCCTCTATGATATGTATACGCGTGTCTGCACGGGTATATACTGATATGTATGTATATGTATATATGTATGTACAAGTGTGAAAAATAATAACTCTAATAAATGTATATGCCTGGGTGGACACATATATGGGCTCACATCTCTAAGAATATGCATATGTATGTATGCATGTAGTGTGTGCGTGTAAGTATACATGTGTGTATGCATATGTAGGTATACATGTGTATACAAAAAATAACAAAAAGCCCCTGAATTAAAATCTTACAATACCAAACTACACTGAGGCAAACATAAATTAAACTAACAAGCACAGAGACATACTGACTTGCTCTGATGTAAAGCCAGGGAATGATAAGCTGGAGTAATTAGTGTGATTTGCGACAACCTACTTATCCTCATAGATTCGAACACACTCTCCTAACACATAGATTTGTCTTTCTTTTTTATTCAAACTGGTGACGCCAAAGCGAGAATAAGCCCTTTCTGGTGAAACGTATCTTTGATAAAAAAAAATGTCCACTTCGTCTCATCTTCTTCACGTACCTATCTACAAAATTTCACCATAAAACAAAATGTCTTCCATTAGAAGTAGCTTTCATATATATACAAGTTAATTTCCTAATCATATTATATATGTAATATGTATGTATATAAAATTATAATATATAAAATAAAATTTTTTATTATATATTTTATTATAAATAATAAAGTATATAATATTATATATGTTAATATTTTACATAAAACAAAATGTCTTCATTAGAGGTTGCTTCCATATATGTGTTAATTTCCTGATTATATTATATATGTAATATAAATATGTATATAAATTATAATATATATATTTTTTGTGTGTGTGTGTGTGTGTGTGTGTGTGTGTGTGTGTGTGTGTGTGCATATCAAAAATAAATAAAGACAATCCTTAAAAATCCATTTCGGTTACAATTTATTTCATGTATATATTTATTTAAATATTCATATCTTCAGACCGAAGGGTTTTTTCGAAAAAAGAATTTTTTTTTCTAAAATCCCTTTGGTCTGAAGAGACGTATATTTAAATATATTCACGAAATAAATTTTAACCGAAATGGATTTTTAACGATCGTCTTTACTTATTATCATTATTTTATTGCTCTGTTACTTACATTGAGATCTCTCTGGATTAATTTCCTCCTTGAAATTATCCTAACAATTACCAATATATATATATATATATATATATATATATATATATATATATATATAGATAATGTCTGATTAAATAAATTACAGACATTATGTCTGCATATTTTTAACATAATCCGTTTATACTCACGAATAACATTCCGTGTATTGGAATTAGATGACTTAAGAAATGTGCTATAACTGTGAAAATCGCTTTTCTAAGTATTTTCGATCTTCCTCCGAGATCATCTTCAGTGATGCAATTTCAATGGGGTAGACTGTTCTAGTTTCACGTGCCATATTTATTTACAACGCCTTTATCCATTGTGCCATGTGTCCTTGAGGACACATAGCATAGTGGATCAAGGCGTTGGGTAGATCCAGTGACAGGACCCAAAGAGTGTGAGTTCCATACCCGGTTAAGGCAGTGGAGAACTTGCATGGCTGAATTAACAGGAGAATTAATTGAAAACTGACATGCACTAAATATGTCACGTGGAACTAGAACAAGAAATAAAGCGTTCAGTTCGACATTCCAACCACCTGATGAAGGCCGGAGCGTACAACGACCGAAACATTGTAATAAATATGGCGACAAAGATGAAGACAATAGTCTGAATAATGTAAATAGTGAACATTCACTGCTTATCAACTCTTTTGTGATAGCGAAATTGGGTTGAACTCATTAAATACTACAAAACAGGGACATTGTGTTGTGAATAGTCTTCTTTCATTTCGTTTTTTCTTTGTGTTTCATTTTTTTTTTTTTTTTTTTTTTTCGTTTTTCAGATTCTATGAAAATAAACCGCTCGGCCAACTAGCGAAAAAACGCAGCAACCTGACAAAGAGTCTCTTGAAATGTTCAAAATGATGGACGACGTCACGTCTCGCGTTTTCTCGTTGTTTCTCGTTTGTAACTACGAGTCTGTGTTGAGTGTTATCTCAACGTTGTTTTGCAACGGGAAAGTTGTATGAAGTCCCCTCTTACTTAACGGTGATTACGTGATCGGAATTGTGAGTGCTAACCCCACTATTCCAATGCGCTATTTCCAAAATTTGGATGGAACCTTGACTTTTCGACAGATTAACTCAAATAAATAAATGTATAGAAATTATTTATTTGTAAATAAATATGATTTTTTTTATATCTGATTGGTTTTGTTTTTTATTTATATTTACTCAGTTTAGACTAGTCAGACATAAGACTACAATTGTGTGGGCGCACATTTGCAAATTGTACTCTCAACAGTAGTAAAGGTTTCCAAACTTAATAATGAATGAGTCTCTTTTATATAAATCTTTTAACTCCTTCTTACTAAAATTTCTAAGATTTATTGATTGGTTTCTTTGATTTTTACGGCTTACAACTTTATACTGGTTTCCTAAGATTATATATATATATATATATATATATATATATATATATATATATATATATATATATATATATATATATATTTAGTTGGATAGATGTGAGTTTGTGACCCTGGGTTTCACGCTTTAGCGATCGTCAGAAAAACCCTAGCTCTATCTCTGATATTGAGCGCTTTCTAATAAGTACCGCGCATATAATATATAAATAATTATACATATATATATTTATTTATATTTATATACACTTTTCATATATATATATATATATATATATATATATATATATATATATATATATATATATATATACCGTCATCCACAGACAGTTTCGCTGTATCACCGCTCCTCAGTGGGCCTAGACATCCGATCGCTTCAAGCTGAGACCAAAATCCGACCGATTTGACATCAGTCGGAGATTCTTAATATATTATTATTATTATTATTATTATTATATTATTTTATTATTATATTATTATTATATTTATTATAATAATATTATTATATTATTATCATTATATTTATTATATTATATTATTATTATTATATATTTTATTATTTTATTATTATATTATTATTATTATATTATATTATTATATTATTATTATATTATCATTATATTATTATTGTTATATTAATAATATTATATTATTCTTATATTATTCTTGATAATAAGCCCAATAATATTTATTATATTATTATGATATTATCATTATATTATTATTGTTATATTAATAATAAAATATTATTCTTGATAATAAGACCAATAATATTTATTATATTATTAGCAGACGTTCAGGTCAAATGGAAACCTGATGATACAAGGTATCTTTTCTCAACGACAAACAAAACAAAGTCGGACATTTGGAGAGATATATTTTTCATATTTGTTATATTACTAATGCAATCTAGTTGTTTTGAACTAGTCCTTAGCCATGATTATTGTTGTAGGGGGGGGTGAAGAAAGCTTTTTGAGGAAACTGTATTCACCGAGTAGGCCTAAATCCCTATTTAAACCCAAGATCTGTGAAATTAC